ATTTGTTTCATAAGCCGACGTATTCAGGTAGATATTTAAATTTTGAATCGCAGCATCCTCTCTGTCATAAAAAAGGCACCATTATCAGCCTCATAGATAGAGTTTTTTGGCTATCTCATCCGAAATTCCATAAAGTTAACTTTGAGTCTATGATTGGAGTTCTTTTGTCTAATAATTATCCTCTCAATTTGATATTTCATACATTACAAGCGCGGTTAAAAAAGTTGTTCTTCCGCTATAATAATAAGTTGCATAACAATAGAGCAAATGTATGCAATGACAAGATTCTAACGCAGAAAAAAGTTTCGTACTTTAATATTCCGTATATTAATAATGTATCGAAGAGAATCGAGGACATTACACGTGATTTGGATGTCATTCCATCATATACAGCAATTAACAGTCTCCGTAAATTCATTAAAGTACACAAGGATAAGTTACCAAGAGAACTCCATAATAATGTAGTTTATAAAATTGATTGTATGGATTGTGATGCGTCGTACGTAGGGCAGACGGGTAGATTGTTGAAAACTAGGATGAAAGAACATCGCAACAACATAAAAAGAAACGCGTCACAATTATCAGTCATATCGGAACATAGATTATTGAACCATGAATTTAATTGGGAGGATGTAAAAGTCTTAGACGAGGAGCCTTTTTTAGGTAAACGTTTGATATCCGAAATGATCCACATAAAACGTCAGAGGAATAGTTTAAATTTACATAGCGACACTGATAAATTAAACGAGAATCTTGATCTGTTAATAGAAAAATTTACCAAAATCTAGCTTTGTGATTTTACATAGCCGGGTTTTTTTGTTAGACTTTTGACATGAGTGCCGATTAGTTTAGTTGTTTTTATTTTTATTTTTATTTTCATATTTTATTTTTATATTTGTTTTTTGCGTATATATGTATCGACTGTGTCGAGGTAGAATACCGCACAGTCGTTAGAGTGATGTGTCACGTGTAGCATCGTCTTCTCTCTGTTTTTGCTGTCGGGGTGAGTGTTCTTTCCGGTTCTTAATTTTTAATTCTTGTGAATTGTTCTACGTTTAATTTATACCATGTTGATTAGTGTTGGTAAGGGAGTCACTGCTCCGCTTCCTTCCTGACGATGGTCACCGTTAGGGAGACACTCCGACGGCCGGACGGTTTGAATAGGGAGGAGAATGATATTTAATTTATTTGCGGATTGTATGTATACGAGTTTTATAATTTCTGATTGTACCGATTATCTTTTATTTTTGTTTCTTTGTATTTTGCAGCTACTGAAGAAGACCCGAAGTGGGTCGAAACGTTTAGAATTTAATAAATGAGTTTGACTTGAGATCTCATTTTAATTTATTAATTTTGTGCATGTCATCCGCATAGGCTCCGATTGCCGTCGAGATTTTAATAAATTAAATCCCACATATACTCTACGGTGTAATAAACATGTAAAAAATTGCGCGTTACAAAATGTATTTAAATTATTTAATTAGTGGTCGGCCGCAGAATCCAGGCTTGGATCCGACGATTATCCGTTTTTTTTTTAATAAACATATTGTTTACATACTATTCTCTTTGTTATTTCCCTCATTAAATATTTCTAAGAATTTCTTTTACCCTTATTATTTTTATATATTTGTCTTTCCCTCCAGATATATTTCTAAGAATTTGATTTACCCCTTCTCCTAATATTTAAAAAAAATTTTTCACGCAATTATATTTCTTAGAATTTCTTTTATCCCCACTACTTTTATATATTTGTCTTTTCCTCCAGATATATTTCTAAGAATTTGATTTACCCCTTCTTCTAATATTTTAAAAATGATCGTTACTCGATTATTAGTACTTTTTATACGATCAGTCTCTCGTCGACTGTTCTGACTGATGGTTCACTTTTTTTAATACCTTTGGTTCAAAGAAGCAGCATGAATTACTACATGCCGAAACATGATGAAACGTGCGAGAAGAAATGCGACGAGTAAGTATAACTTTTTATATTTTATATTTTATATTTTATACTTTTATATATTTTTTACGAGTTATAATTTTTATCTAATTTTTACAGTGTTTTGCTGGAGCCTCGTGCGGTTCGTATACTTGGAAGACGATACGCATTGACGGCCACGGAATTCAAATTCCTCGAAATCGACATCAGAGTGGATCCACCGAGTTACGTGGAGATCGCCATAGGACATCATCGGGGAAAACAGCTAATACTATCTCTCGAAACGTGGAAAGGACTCTACGAGCAACGTCACGCTATTCACAATTATCTGAACAATGACTCTCCCAGCAACAATGTGTATAATTTCATAAGTGTCGGGCCGCTAACAGTACGTTTTCACAAGATAAACGACACCAAACTCATAAGTCTCGAATCGGCGGACGTGCGCATGATGATGGTCGAATCGACGTTACGTCGTATGTTCGAGCTCGATTCATGCATCAAAATAATGTTCGATCGATTGACGAGGCTCATCGCAACGGTCGATATCAAATATACGCAATTCTCTAATATTGCATCCACTGTAACGAATGCGAGAGAATTGCCGAATGCGATACGCGCTAGCAACGCCTTCAACATGCACCAACTTGTCGATTGCGAGCTGGTGGCTTTAGTTTTTAATATGTAATAAAACTTTATATAATTATGTATTAAATATAAGACAAATAAATACTTATATGTATATATCATGGTGTACTTTATTTGCGCGCCATCCGTTACATACTTTGCGAGAGATAATTATCGTGTCAAGGACATTGTCGTATCCAAGCCTGCTTTCAGCGAGAAAAAATCGATATTATTATTTTACGAGATAAGACGGGCCGCATCCATGCGGCGGCAGCAAGAGAAAATCGATAATTTTATCTTACATGGCACACGCAACATTAAGAGACAGAAGACGCACGTATTCGAGAGCGGGTGGGCGGCTTGGGCCGGCGGCGAAAGAGGTACGGCGAGAGAGCCGGCAAAATAAGACGCGAAGGAGAAAAGAGAGCTTTTAAAATAATTTTTAATAATTTCTTTATATTGTCTTATAATTTAAAAGGGAACAAGAGGTAAGGAGGATATTAATTTATAAAATAGAAATATAATAAAAGATACAAATATAAAAATATAAAAATAAAATTATATAAAATGTATTAAAATAAAAATATATATAAAAGTATAATAGTATAAAATAAAATTAATACAAATAAAATAAAATTATATAAAATAAAATTATATAAAATTAATACAAATAAAAAAGATTAAAAGCGAGAGAGAGAGAGAGATTTCTTTATATTGTCTTATAATTTAAAGGGGAACAAGAGGTAAGGAGGATATTAATTTATAAAATAGAAATATAATAAAAGATACAAATATAAAAATAAAATAACATAAAATTATATAAAATGTATTAAAATAAAAATAAAATTATATAAAAGTATAATAGTATAAAATAAAATTAATACAAATAAAAAAAAATGGTCGGAGGCGAGAAAGAAGACGCACGCATTCGAGAGTGAAGACGCACGCATTCGAGAGAGAAGACGCAGCGCGCGAGAGTAAGAGAGACGCACGCATTCGAGAGAGAAGACGCAGCGCGCGAGAGTAAGAGAGATGCACACATTCGAGAGAGAAGAAGGTAGCACGCAGTCAGAGCAAGAGAGAGAGGTAGCGCGCGGCGGTATACGCGCTCTCCCGTCGGAGCGAGAGAGAGGCAACGCGCGGCGGTATACGGGCTCTCCCGTTGGAGCGAGAGAGAGAGATGCTGCGGTGGTATACGGGCTCTCCCGTCGGAGCGAAAGAGGTACGGCGGCTCGAAGAAGCGGCGAGAGATGCTGTGGCGAGAGAGTCGACGGCTCGCGGTGAGAGAGATTTGGCGGCTCGGGATCCACGCCTGGATTAAGCGGCGAGAGAGATTCGGCGGGAGAGGGATACGAAGGAGAGGAGGGGAAACATTTTTTTTTAATTTAATAAAATATATATTTTATTCAATATTTTTTATTTATTATTTTTTTATACATATTTTTTGTACATTATTTTTTTTTGTACATTATTTTTGTACATTATTTTTTATAAGGATATCGAGGAAGGGAAACATTTTTAAATTATTGGTATTAATAATATATATTTTATTCTTAATTATTACATTACCGCCGGCATTGGCATTACCCGAGGTGTACCACGTGGAGGTTGCCGGTCGGATTTACACCTCATATGGTATGTATGTGTATGTGCGTGTGTGTGTGTGTGTGCGTGTGTACTTGTACATGTGTTACAGTAGAGATAAGGACCCCACGGTTCGTCACTTCCGCGGTATTTACCGACTCCAAACCCTCTCTACTGTGTGTGTAAATAAAAAATAAAAAATAAAAAATAAAAAATAAAATATGTAAAATATAAAAAAATATAAAATATAAAATATTAAAAAATATAAAAAAATATTTAAAAAATATAAAATAATCCTTATGTACGGTGACGGCGAGAGTGAGCGGAGAAAGCCGACGAGAGAGAGAGAGCCAGCGCGTTGCATCCATGCTTGGATCCGGCGACTGCGAGAGAGGGGGTCGCATCAATCATTGCTGTCATCAGACTCGGCATCTGTGCATAGAAATATAATAAATTTTTTTATTACTCGAATTTTTGACATATTATATATATACTCACGTCCTTGACAGGTGGGACATGCGTTGGCCAGGTAGAATATGTATAGTCTCCCCCGGCAATCGGCGCAACGCAGATGTGGTACATCAATGTACCGCGCCGTCATGTGGCTCTCGATGGTTGTGATCGTAATGAATCTGTTCCTGTTTCTCATAAAACAGGACATACAGATTTGCACTGACCCCCATGGTGCGGCGTATGCCATGACATACGACATTACAGTGCATACCCTCGTGTGTTCGTCGAGGGATGCAACTGCTCGTATGTCCAACATGTGCGAGCGGCACGACTCCCGAACAGTGTTTTCGCTATCGTACCCATCATCGTGCAATTCGTCCTCTTCTTCCTCCTCTTCTTCTTATTCTTCGTCATCATCATCATCCTCTTCTTGGTCTTCATCAACGATGGGTACGATATCGACCTCCATCTCCTCAATATCGTCTAAGACGATATTCACCTCCCTGTCATAGTCGGGGTCGTACATCGCAACATCGCTGTCGCTGTCGCTGTCGTCGGAGATTGTGACGACCTTCATCTCGTCATCAGCAATTGTTATCACCTCCATCTCATCGTCTGAGATCGTGATCATCTCATCGTCGCTCTCACTCTTACGCGCTGCGTTCTCCATTTTTATCGCAAAAAAACTATTCACTCGCTCACTAATAAATGCTCGCAAATGTCACCGTACTATGACCCGGCAGTGGCATCGGTCCTCATTATATACCCCGATCATCTCTTTGTTCTTCAACGTATGATGCAATTATCTCCGAAAGATTTGCTATTATCTCCAAAAGATGATCTTCGCCGAAACAAAAATAGCGGCTGTTGACTATTGACATGTTTACACTTTCCGCGAAGTCATATACATATCTACTCTCAGAAACGTTGACATACTCTTCACATATGTTGTACACCTATTTAATCAGACAAATAAATAGGTTGCAACAAGTAATCTGACGATGATGATGACGACGATGGTGATGGCCTCGGTTCTCTCATATCTGATTCCTCTATTTCTTGGTCCGAATCATAATCAGATGATTGTGTTTTGCATGACACCGATGGTGAAGGCATATCCATGTCGGCAAAATAAAGGTTGTCCACAGTGATTCTGCACAATTTTTGTAGCGACGCTGATAACATGCGACTCGCTTGTGACGTTTAGACGATCTGGTGCATTTAGATAACCCACCAGTCACTCTTAAAATGTTTTCGTGCATTTCCAAGAAATAGGCAACATCTCTGTATGCGGTTTTTGTACACCAAGTTCGCGATTTTTTTACGAATTGTACAACTGATGTCACCGCTTCACGTTTAAAATGAAACGGGTTATCTTTTTTTTCATCATAGCATTCCTCGAGATGTCTATACCATTTCTCAACATTCTCATAACACCTCGAATGATCTTTTACTGCTTTCTCCATTTTTAATGTCTGGCACTTATTCGCACTGTATTACGCTTGTAACCTCAGCCTATTTTCGCTGACATTCGCTGCAATCCCTGATCATCGGTGCTGGACCGTCAATATGCGTTCGCATCCACGGTCGATTGTAATGTTCGAGGCAGCGACGATATGTCTGAACCTCCGGATTCGTCTTGATATGCTCCAGAAGCTTGTCCCACAAATGCTCTACAAAATAGCCGACCTTTTGCAGTAAAACAATCTTCGGAATATATTGTAACTGTTCGGCACTTAAACTGAGAATGTCGGAAGCACTTGATAGTATTACAAACATTCTGCACCCCGAATAAAGAGAGCGTGCGCTCGCCAGTGGTACTATGACCCGGCAGCGGCATCGGTCCTTATTATATATCCCGATCATCTCTTTGTTCGTGCAATGATGCAATTGTTAATTCGCGAGAAATATTTGCGCTATCTTATATTGGATTCGAAAACTTAGATATTGCTGATAATTCTTAGAAATTCATAGATAAAGCCGCCCGTTACCTTTCATTTCATCCGAGTCGGATTGACACGTCGGATCGGATTGACATGTCGCAACCTGTGAAGCCTGGATTCCGCGTTCGCCTCCGCTGATATTTCTTAGAAATATACGTATCAACCCGCTTGATTGTCGGCGCTCGATCCAAGCCTGAATCAGCGGCAGCCATTCGCAGAATTTATCTTATCTTATTTAGGAAAACTTAGATATCGCTCAAAGACGCCGCTTATCTTATCTTGTTTATGAAAACTTAGCTTATCTTATCTTGTTTATGAAAACTTAGCTTATCTTATCTTGTTTATAAATATATCAGGTAACTTGAGCTGATAAGATAAGCTTATCTGCTGATAAGATCCCCTCCCCTGCGTGACGTCACCCTCTTGCCCCCGATTCCCCCCCGCCCCGCACCCCCCTCATTGCTCCCGGGTTAGAACCCGCCTAGTATATCTACTATTTTTATAATTTTAGATTAATTTAAACTTTATTGTTTCTATCAGTACATATTGATTAAATGTAATAAATTAGTTTTTATAACCGTAATATATTACTTCTGCTCTTATTAGCCTTTGATATGTGTATTACTTTATTTGAATTAAAGAGCATTTAATTATTATATTGTAAAATCTTAGAAGTAACTAAAGTAATATCTTTTCCCAGACACAGCTGGTTAAGATAATCAGTAATAGATCCAATCAGAGACTTATTCTCCTAGATTCATTTAGAACCATCTTTATGTCAATCAATGAGGTAGAGCTAGGATTAGCGCAGAAATTCGGAGAATATCAATTATTAAAGCGAACATATCCAGATTATAAAGTAAGAATAAAAGATAACTGTCTAACTGAAATACTTACGAGGCGTGACTCAGAATGTGCAAAATGTGCAACAAAGTATATGCAAATTCAAAACACGCTTTGGATCCAACTTTATACAAATCAGGATTAGATAGGAATAGCACCTAAAGATGAAATCTTGCATACTTTGTTCTGATAAGATACCTCGCAATGTACACGTACATCAGAATTTTATCATTCATCTAGAATCAAATTGTACAGCAGTTTCCCTTACAGCAATCTTAAGGAGATGCCGGATGATGTTTTTACCGACCGTATGCGAGAATATTTAGTTTTTTTCATATAACTTTTTATTGACTATACTGATCAATAAATCCTTTTCCACGATTAAAGTACTTATAAAAACGGACTGCGCTAGCTATGTTTGCATATATAAATCATATAAAAATCAAAAATTACAGTTTTGTTATCGGCTGCTTTGTGTCAGTTCGTAATAATACTTATTTAATAAAAAAAATTCTGCAGTTTGTATGTGCATGAAATATAGTATGCACGGTAAGGATTATATGAAAATATATTAGTAAGCAATTAAAAGTGAGATTGCAAGTCTAATAAAAAAATTATATATTAAAAACATTTCACGCATATGTGTGTGTGCAAATCGAGGCTGCGGAATAAAACAGAGCAGTTGATTAGTTGCGTGATATCGTGATAGATGGAGCTGCAACGTGTTTCTTTCTCTCTCTCTCTCTCTCTCTCTCTCTCTCTCTCTCTCTCTTCTCTCGCTCTCTCTCTTTCTGTTTCATATACTGTATACAATTTATACTGGACAGAATTTATATTTTCCATTTACAGTAAGAATAATTTGTATAACAATTTACAGCTATATGTGAACAAATAATAAAATTCATTAGAATCAATTTCTATCAAATATGCTTATTTTAGTAAAATCATTACTTCAACGAATTTCGACGTATGATGTAATAATAAGATTCACAATTTTTTTACAAATTATAAATGCATATACTTATTACCTATAAAAATTATGTGAATATTATTGTATTGTGCAAATATAATAAAATTGTATGCCATTATATATTTTATGTTTAATAATATAAATAATACATCAATTTTTTTTCTATAAAAAACTATATATAAAACAGAAAAAAGTTTGTGTTATTTATATTATCAAACACATGAAATATATAATGGCATACAATTTTATTTTAATTATATTCGTATAATACAATAATATTCACATGATTTTTATAGATAATAAGTATATGCATTTATAATTTATAAAAACTAAATTTTATTACCACAATCTCCACTTCATTCCTCTCGACCAATAGAGCCAAACGCGATGTTATTGCGACAATTAAGAAAGAAAGAAAATTTGGAAACTAAGAAATTTGAATCCTATGGTTGGGATCTCAAAAATTCCCCTTGTTCCTTATCTTAACATCCCCTGTAAAAAAATAGGCGAGAAAAATATTGGTCCGAAAGTCAGGGGATGTTAAGAAAAGGAACAAGGGGAATTTTTGAGATCCCAACCATAGGATTCAAATTCCTTAGTTTCCAAATTTTCTTTCTTTCTTAATTGTCGCAATAACATCGCGTTTGGCTCTATTGGTCGAGAGGAAAGTGGAGATTGTGGTTTTAAAATTAAAAGAACTGACTTAAAAGTATTCTTATTATTGTTCTAAATTTTATTATTCATACGTCGAAGTAATTCGAGTAATGATTTTACTGAAATATATATATTTGATAGAAATTGTGATTCTAACGAGTTTTTTTTTATTTGTTTGCATATACCTGTAAATTGTTATAAAAATTACTTTTACTGTAAATGTAAGATAAATTGTATGCAATCTATAAAACAAAAAGAGAGAGACAGAGAGAGAGAGAGAGAGAGAGAGAGAGAGAGAGAGAGAGAGAGAGAGAGAGAGAGAGAGAGAGAGAGAGAGAAGCGCGAGAGGACGTCTAAAAAAATACAGAAGCGGTCGACAGTACAAATTGGAAAGGAATAGAGGAAATAAAATAATAACTATAAATATTTAATATAATTATATATTTTATATAAAATAATAATAATAATAATAATTTAACAAATAAATTTTTCTTCAGAAAAATGATAAAATTTACAACTAGTAGTTCTGTAATTTTACTAATAGATTAGCATATATGCAACAAATATACCTATTAGAAGTTAGCAAAGTGTTGCAAAGAGTCTTTTTCATCATTTTATTCGTTGATCTAAACAGCCGAAATATCATTGATTTGATAACACAAACATAATTCATGTTAGGACACTACCTCGTCACAGATTAAAATACGATAATTTGCTACTATTATCTTATTATAAAATATCTTTTGAATGAATAAAATACGAATTAATATATTTTATTTTTTTATTTATATATTATCTCAACAGCTGTTTTTTTACATATCTTAAATCTTTTATATAATATATAATACAAAGAATATGTCGTACAATAGAAAACAAATAGCATACATTGTTATACCTATAAATAGAAGAGCGAAACATATACTATAAATAATCAATATTACAATAGTACATTTTAACTAAATAATTACATATATATATATATATAGAAGACCGTTTTATAATTATCTTCTCTTACATATATATGTACGAGACTAGTTGAAATTATTTGGTTCAAATCTTTTTATATACGTCGAATATATTGATGCGCTTACATTCTGAAGTAAAACTTCTCTAGCAGTAAAGATATATTTTTTTGCAATTAATATTCAATTAATCATTTTATGCTCGTAAAAAATAAAATAAATTACATAACACCTAATATAAGTGAATGACTGTAGATGCATCAGATGTTATTAATGTATTTAAAAAAAATTTTGATTG